TCTAGTTTCTCCATGATAATGGGGAACTAAACCTTATTTGTTGTTGGGAAATATGTAACCTCTTAAACTCTTATGTATTGAATTGATTCTTATTATAAAATTTTTTACTTCATTAATTGTTAGGGTTTTTCCTCTACACTCTATGCATGCTTTGTTTAACTCATTCAATTTCATGATTATTGGTTTTGTCACCATGGACACATATGAGAATATCTAGAACTGGGGAAATTCTCCCAAAAGCAATATTACCTAGACATAGAGATAAGAGGGTTGGTTGCCTTTAAGCTTCTGTGCGAATGTAATGCATGATTAATTGCTAGGAAGACGAGACATTGTGAACTAGTAATTAGGAGTAGGCTTTCTTCACCGAGACATCGAGTTTAAGGTAAATTAGGAAGTGGCATTAACATTAATGAAGAAGATGAATTCATATATGCATGAGAGTAAATTAGGTGAAATCTAAACCCAACAACAATATCATCAACTTCATCCATTCATTCTTGTGTTTAGCCTCAATTGATCAAATTTCATTCATGTTTATTTTATTGCATTTGCATTCAAAACCCCCAAAATTTGTTTTTTAGAGTCTTAATTAATTGAGTAATCACATAACTGTTTAGTGCTGTGAGTCTCTTGGGAAACGATACTTGGTCTTACCATTTATTATTACTTGATACGATTTGGTACACTTGCCGAAGTGTTAACATCAAGATCACACTACGCTCTCCTTAATTTTAATCCCCAATTTTCTGAAAATTTCTTCAAAACACCCTAATTGTATCTCTTTTTATTTTCTTGAACACTCTTTAGGGTGATGAACATTTTTCTCAATTTTTTTCTTTTTTCTCTCACTCTCTTCTTTTCCTCTTCTCTCTTTCTTTTCAACTTTTTCTTTTTCTTTTCTCTCTTCTTTTTCTTCTCTCTCTTTCTCTTTCTCTTTCTTCCTCTCATTTTCTACGCTCACAATAACCTTGCATTCTTCCTTGGGGTTAACTTCAGTATTAGCCTCAAAATTGTTGATAGGTATCTCTTCCAACTTCTTGGCTATTTGACCAACCTGCATCTCTAGATTCCTTATAGCAGCTTCAGTGCTTTTCTGAGTGGAAAGAGTTGCATGCATGAACTGTTGAAGAGTCTCCTCAAGCTTTGTAGTTCTGTCAGCTAGAGAGGTTTGTTGTTGCTGTTGTGGTGGTCTATTGAATTGTCCACCAGTTTGCCCAAACTGAATTTGTCCATTGCTAGGATGAGATTTCCACCCTTGATTGTAATTGTTGGGACGAAACTGATTGCCCGTGTAATTAACTTCTTCATTGAGATTCTCAGGCACAACACATTGACCATTAATATGATCACCACCACATAGTTCACAAAGTTGTTGTTGAACGTGTAAGACATTCTGGCACTCCTTTGGTGGCTGAGAAAGCTTCTTTGTCAAGACTTCTAGTTGTTGAGTTATAATCTTATTTTGAGCAAGCAAGGCATCATAAGACTATAACTGTAGAACTCCCTTAGGTTGTGATGGAGCTCCTCTTTCACTGTGCATTTCATTGTCATCGGTAGCCATGTTATCAATTAATTCATAGGCTTCCCCTGGAGTCTTGCATTTGATATTGCCTTCAAGTGAGGCATCCAACATCAATTTGGTTTTTGAACCAAGACCTCCAAGGAAAAGAATGACTATCGTTGCTTCATCAAAACCATGAGTAGGTGTCTTTCTCAGCAAGCTCTTATATCTATCCCATGTTTTTCCCAATGTCTCCTCCATGCCTTGCCTAAAAGAAGAGATTTCTTGCTTCCCTTTGTTGATCTTCGATTGTGGGAAGTATTTGTTTAAGAATTTTGCAACCACATCTTCCTACTCATTCAAGTTATTTTCAGCAAAAGAGTTCAACCACAGTTTAGCATTGCCTCCCAATGAGAAAGGAAACAAGCTCAGTTTAATAGCATCATCTGGAGCTCCATTCAGCTTCACAGTATTACAGATCTCATTAAAGGTTGTCAGACGCTCATATGGAATTTCATTTGACAGTCCATTGAATTGGTTGCTCTTTACTAGATGGATTAACACAGGCTTCATCTCCATACTTGTGGCATTGACCCTCATCCTTACAATGCTGTTAAAATGGTGAGGGCCAACAACTGTTGCATAATCTGCCAAAGTACGTCTACCACCATTGTTGTGCATGCTTTCCTCATCAGATTGTAAGGCCTGTGAAATTCTCTCTAGAGAAGGTTCTCTAGATAATCTACTTCTTCTCGGCCTTCTCTTAGTCTCAAGTCCTTCAAGGAGAGGTTCAGAACTTTTATTGCTCCTAGTCCTGATTGTATCCTGCATAAACTAGACACAAAACCCTAGAACACTTTGTTAGCACTAAAACAAAAATAAATGACACTAGACACAAGTTAAAAAATTAGACAAAAATTAAAAATAATAATAAAAACAAAAACAAAGTCAAAGTTAATCAAGAATCACACAAATATAATATTTTAAACCGTGAGTCCCCGGCAACAGCGCAAAAGAATTGTTGGATGATCGGCAAGTGTACCGAATCGCACAAGTAATATAAAATGGTAAGACCAAGTATCGTATCCAAAAGGACTCTCAGCACTAAACAGTCGTGTGATAACTCGATTAATTAAGACTTAAAGAAAACGAGATCACTGGTTTCAAATGCAAAGACAAAAAATTAAATATGAATGCAGTTTGATCAATAGCAGAATAACACAGTGAACGGATGTTGTTTAATATGAGATGAATATGTTTTTGGGGTTAGATTTCACCAAGTTCCCTCTCATGTATGTAAGAATTCTTCTTTATGCATTAATGTCAACGTCACTCACTAAATCACTTAAACCCGATCCCTCTTTGAAGAATCTTTTCCTTAATCACCATTTCATGCAATTTCTATCATTTCTATTAATTATATGTTAAGATCAAGAGCTTTAAGACGACCAAGACTCATACCCTCATCCCTGCGCAATATTACTCTTGGGAGAATTCAACAAGAACCTGAATTGTAAGGAACCTCCCGGCACTCATGCAATTCATATATCATGTTATGAATGAGTTAAACAAAGCATGTAATAAGTACGGATGAATTACTCTAACAATTAATGAAAAAAGCATGTGTTATTAAGAATCAATTCAAATACATGAGAGTTCACAAGGTTACATCATCCCCCAACAACAAATAGAGTTTAGTTCACCATAGACACGATGAAAACTAGATGAATAATGGAAAACCATGAGATAGAAAAACCCTAAAAGTAGAGGATGGAAGCTCCTGCATCCATACCTGCCTTTAGAGAGTGGAAGAGTGTGTTGTTGTGCTACTCCAGCCAAAGATACAAAACATAGGACCCTTGGGTCCTTTAAATAGAGCGAAGACAAAACACAAACAAAGCCCAGGCCCGAGTCAATGGTGCTTAAGCGCCCCACTTAGGGCGCCCGGGTGGTGAGCGGTGGTCCTTCACACTTAAGCCTTGTAGAGGACGCTCAAGCTTCGAGCTTTCGACGCTCAAGCGCCCCAAAAGGGGCGTCCGAGCGGTCTGATACTCTTCTACGCCCAAGCCTTCCAGGTGATGCCCAAGCTCCGTGCTGTTGGCGCTCAAGCGCCCCAAAAGGGGCACCTGGGCGGTGAGCGACACTCTTCTGCACTCAAGCCTCCTAAAAGGGCGCCCAAACTTCGAGCATCCCTCCCTTTTAGTGCTTTTCCAGGCCTTTCTAAGCTTCATATCCTTAGCACTTCATCCCTACTTTCCATATTATCTCATTTTCTATCAAAAGAAGGAGAATTAGTCATAAAATCATTGAATTCAACCTGACCTCTCTTATTCACAAAACTTAACAGAAAAACATGATTCCAAGCAAGTTTCTAAGCAGAAAAGGGTGCATTTAGTATCAAAATTATATCACAAATAACGATATTTTCAACCGTTATCAAGCATCGAGGTCGAGACGACGAGTCGTCGAGGACTCTGCTGAAGGGTGCCCCTCAAACTCCTCAATCTTATCTCTTCAATCTTCATGTTCTTTTGGTACGCAGTATCTCGAATCTACACACGGTGTTGGTTGGGGCATGGAAGTCACTCAATTTCTAAAACCATTTTTTTCAAATTGAATGTTCTAGGGTTTTTATTTTGGGAATTATTGGGAAATGTGGAAACTCCGTTACATATTTTATTGTTTTCAACTATAGAGGTGTGATCCGGTTGGTTATTTTCATTAACGATGTTTGTAATCGTAGTTTACTGTCATGATTTTTTTGTGACTCCTTATTCATTGTTTAATTTTCTGATACAGCTCCTAAGGTTGAGCCGGTTGAGTCTGAATAAATGTCTTGTGGATAAATAAAAGGTACTTTCAAACATTATTTCTCTTATTTTTCTTGTTTTATATGAATTGTTATTGTTAAATGAATCAATTGTCAAATGAGTTATTCACGTTTGGGTTTTTCACTATTTTTGGTTGAATGGAAATGGTGTAATGCAAACCTCATCTTTGCCTAGGATTAAGTGTATATTTGAATAAACCTTTCTGAAAGCACGTTTGCTAAAGAAACTAGAATGAACAACGAGTTAGCTCTTTCGTAAATTACACTTAGCTTTTGCGTAAATTGTTTTTAACTCATCTAGTAGCTGATTTGGTTTACGAGGGAATTTATTCCTTTTTGTTTCTTATTTTCTTTTCAATTTTAATTCATTTTTAGTTAGACCTCTTGAGTGATTTACGTTCATGGTTTCTATTGGTTTTATATTGGCTTTTGATGGCCTAATGCAACCATGAATTTGGAACGACAATGAGATCATTGGTGGAGTTTAAAAGTAACATATTTTATGCTTTTTGAATGTGAAAAGAAAGACATTTAACATTTAAAGATAGACAGACTGTTCCCATCTGTCATATATGAAACAAAAACCAAAACAAACAAATTAGTTAATGAGCTTCTCTGCTACTCAAATAGCTTTATATGAAATGGTAGCTTTTGAAATTAATAAAACATCACCTGCAGATGAGGCTTGCAAATGTGAAAGCTGGAAGAAAGGGAAACCTTAATGTTGCCATTGAGGTATATGATTGTTATTTGGTGCTGTTGAACAGTATTTGTCACATTATTTTACAGAAACTTAAAAGTGTTCATCATAAACAGATATTTCAAGTGGCACCTTCTCTTCACATGGTTGAGGTACGGAAGGCAAAAGGAGACACATTGGAGTTCCATAAGGTGTTCTTCTGTCCCCTTCTTTGCTCAATTGCTTTACATAGTCTCTGCTTGCCACTTCATAAATAACTGTTCTTGGGTCAATTTTAATGATAATTTAAAAGGATTACTCTATAATTTTAAACTTCTCTCTACAAAGGAATAATTTTCCCTAGAAGAATACATCATTAGTTAGATGGGAAAGGAGAATTAGAATTATTCATTTGTCAATATCAGATCTTTACTTTTTATATATATTTGTACCAATAAGAATATGTTTCTGCTTAGCTTATAATTACATATTTATAAAAGGAAAGGAAAACATGAAATCAAGTTTCTTATATCCTCATCATGAAGTTGTTGTTGAATTAAGAAAGGGAAGTATATCGTCTCTTGTTCTTGAATGACAATGTAAGGCCCTGCTGGAAAAGAATCTAATTGAAATTGTTTGGTTGATCTTATGCAGTTCTACAAGAAGCTTTCAACAAGCCTGGATAATGTTGTTTGGAAAACAAAAGATGATGTGCAAATGAGAAAAACAATTGATATTTATTATTATTATTATTATTATTATTATTATTATTATTATTATTATTATTATTATTATCAAGTGTAATTTTCTTCATTTCTGAAGTTCTACTATTTTCCAATTTCTTCATTCTTATTTCCTCTAAGGTTCCTTCCTGTAGGTTTGTTTGGAAATTCCATAGTACTCATAATACCATGCTATTATTTTTGAAAGCATGCAATGTAAGAATTTTACTCATCAACTTTCAGCTATGTTCATAAAACAAAAATTGTAAGAAAATTTGAATATTGTATATACCTATATATTTATCTTTTTATCTTGCGTTTGTTGTTACTTTCCTTCTCTCATCTCTGTCCAGCAACAGGATAAGCTCATTGCAGCAACTGGAAACTCAAAATAGAAGATTAAGAGAGAAAGAAGGTAAAAGAATATATATATATATATATATATATATATATATATATATATATATATATTAATGTTTGTAGGTTTTACTGTTATAAATATGAAAACATAAGTTATAATTTATATATATATAAATTTTTTTAATGTTATAATTTTTAAATATGAAAACATAAGTTATATTTTTACATATGATGAAACCTTAAGAGTTTAATTTTTTTTACAGAAACCCGTGTAGTTGTTACAGTTGTCTACACACACAGCAAACCCTTATTTCTTCAAATGTCGCTTCCCTCTGCCAAATGCGAGACTTTGGTTGTTGAAAGGGAATTTTTTCTTCGGAGGTTGTTACACTGTTACGCTTTTTATTGTTGTCTTCTTTGTGTGGTTTTTTTGGGTGTGTGATATCCATCAAAAGCTCTCATCTTAAGTGTTGAGGATCGAGTTTGGCTGAGATGATTGAAAAAGAAGAAGTCTTGCATGCTGCTTTGAAGGAAGCTCTGGATTTGGTACTGAAAAGACCAACCCATACCTCTGTCTCCTTCTTCTTTGTTCACAAAATTGCTTGAACTTTATTTACTGTTTATCATTGGTTCTTGTACTGTGATTTTGCTGTTTCTTTAGTAGTTTTTAAAGAAAAAAATAGGGGGTTGACAGATGTTTTCTGGATTTTGTTTTGTTGTTTTTGGAGCTGGGAGTTTCACGCTTTGTTCTGTTTTTGGGAAATTTTCTCTGTTTTAGTTTAGACTTACAACAAAGTAGCAGTAATTGCAAGCGGACTGGGTTTCCACAGGTGACTTTGAATGTTTTTTTCCTATCTCAGTGTTATTGGTTTAAATTCGAATAACAGTATTTGAAACTATGTCTGTCCAAATGACCCAATAAGTAAAATAGTCCGATTAAATTTAAGTGTTATATTTGAATTATGTTAGATTGTTGATGTTATATCCGAATCGGACCCAAACCAATCAGTCATACTTTTTGTTATACGTGGAGTTAAAAAAGAAAATGTGAAGTGCTGGAGCCCCATCTGTCCCTGTCGCTCGCCGCCCCTGGCAGTGTCTCTGTCACCACATGCCTTTTTAGTGCAATGCAATGAATTGGGTGCATTTAAATATTTGCAGCCTTTTTCCACCAAAACCTAAAAAAAACCATTGTCAGCTTTATTTAATCGCAAATGCATCAACATCGTAGCACCCCAAACGTAATCCAATCTGCGTCCTCCACTCACTACTCACTTCTTCTTCGCCTGCACCCACCATACACCTCTGTCCCTCTCACCAAAAAACATGACAAGGCCAAAGATTTACCTCTTTGGTGATTCGATCACCGAAGACTCTTTCTCACCAGGTGGATGGGGGGCTTCTCTCGCCCACCATTTCGCTCGCACGGTATCCCTTCTACACCCTTAACCAACCAACCCTGTTCTTTCATTTTCTTTTTTTGTTGGTTTGAACATTTCAAGGTAAAGTTTTTACTTTCTTGCAAATGGGGTTGGTTGTTGTTCAGGCTGATGTTGTTCTGAGAGGTTACAGCGGCTACAACACGCGGTGGGCGTTGAAGGTGTTGGAGAGGGTTTTCCCGGCGTCACAGGTCGGTGACGGTGGAACAGTGACAGCGCCGATTGCTGTGACGGTTTTCTTTGGGGCCAACGACGCTTGCCTTCCTGATAGATGTTCTGCTTTTCAGCACGTGCCTCTCCATGAATACAAGCGGAACCTTCACTCCATTGTTTCCTTCTTCAAGGTAAATTACAGTCCTAGCGTTTTAGATTAAATGATTAGGGAAAAGTTGTAGGCTGTTGAAACCCAGAAAATGATCACTGGCGCAGTGACACTGTTTTTAACAGATGTGAAAAGTTTTTTTTTATTATTTATTTATTTTAGTTTAGCCTTTTGACTCTTGCGGGTTGATAAGCGTTGTGTATGTTGCATGCCGCAGAAGGGTTAATTATTTGAGGTTTGGTGGGGTAGAATGTTATGATGATTTTGTTTGTCTTGGGTGGTCAAATTTATATATTATATACATATATATGCATATTTGGGAGGTTGTGTTGTGGGGTTTCAGAACTGAATGAGAATTGAGAAATGAGAGGTGGTTTCAGCTCTCACACGTGCATCGCCGTGGGAATGGGAAGTGTGTTTGGTTTTGTTTGCCACTTGACCATGTTAGCCTGTCAAAAGGGACCCTCCTTTGCTTTTTATGCATTTTTTCTTCTCCCATGGGAATGGAGTTTGCACGAGACCTTTGTGTAAAGGTCCACTTTTTTATTGGTTTTCTTTTGGGGAAACTGGGAAGGGTTAGTTGAAAGGAGCCTACCATTGTTTTCACGACCTGAACCCTTCCGTGTCTTCTTTCTCGTGTCTTTTCTTTGGCTCCCATGCAATTATATTATTCTGCTTGGTCGACTATGAGCTGTTAGGTATGAATGTTAGATAGGATTACGTGGAAGACCCGCATTTAGGACTGCAAGAATTTGATGCATCTCCTTAAGGACTAAGATATCATCTCCTACCAAAAGTTAGTTAGTACCAACGCTTCACACTTAAGTCTTTTAATTAACAATTTGCTTTCGATTTTGGGTTTGGATGTGGAATCGTGACTGTTATTTTAAAATAGATGAATTGGGTCAAAGAAAGATGACATCTTTATTGAAAAAACACATCATGTATGTCTATAGTCTCCATTAATCTTCACCCAACGCAACTGGTTTTTTTAATTTATAAAAAAATAGTTAATAAAATTAGATTATATGTTTTTGTGAAAATTGTTTAAAACTATAAAGAGTTAAATCTGTGATTATTTGTCCTCCCACATTCAAGAGGAAGGTTATTGAGTCCTGCGCAAGTCTAATGAATGCTTACACTTGTTGTATGATATGAGTATTTTTAGTTTAATGGAAAGATACATGTGTAGAATGAACGTATGGACTATATTCATCTGCAAAAGTTTGAAAGGATGTTGTAGAGAAAAGTAGATGCTAGTAATGGAGTACAAGTAATAAGAATTTAATTCCTCTAAAGTGATATGATGTGTAGATGTGTAAAGCAATAAACTAACGATGTATCTGTCCTTGCTTTCACATTGAACTATAAGAGGCATTTTAATCCAAATTACGTGTGAAAATAAGCCTTCCTATTTTATTTTTTTTCAATACCATATATAGCTTTTTCTTGACCAGGTAGACGAGGACAAGGTTATAAATTTCAATTCAATGTTGGTAACATGAATACATGTGCCTGTTCCATCAATACATACCCGTTTCAACAAGTAAATATTAAAATAAAATATTGCCAAGTTTTCCTTTAAAATGCAGAAGCGATGGCCCACAACTTTGGTGCTCCTCATAACTCCTCCTCCAATCGATGAGGAATTACGTTGTAGGTAATGTTTTATACCTTTGTTCTTCATTTATATGGATTAGTTAGAAATACAGTATACACTGGAGGTTAAACACGGATAAGGTAATTTGTATATATGTATTGTAGACATCCGTATGTAGAAAATCCACAGGGTCTTTCTGAAAGGACAAATGAAGCAGCTGGTGAGTATGCTAGAGCATGCATTGCGGTGGCTGGAGAATGTGGAATACCTGTGGTTGATCTCTGGAACAAAATGCAACACCGGAAAAAAGATTATCTAAGGTCTGAGAAAAGTCGTACGTTTTTTCATTTTAGTTTTGTACAATTATGAAGCGAAGAGTGATGTGTGATTATATGTTTGATTTGGTTTTGGCGATTGAAATGCAGTGATGGTTTGCATCTCACTGAAAGTGGCAATGATGTTGTTTTTGAGGAAGTAATAAAAAAGCTAAGAGACGAAGGGTTGAGTCAGGAATCTATACCAGTTGATCTCCCACTTATTGCTGATATTGACCCTAATGACCCCCTGAAGGCATTTCTGGAGTAACAGAATGATGTATTACAGAAGGGTTATGGTGCTTTTGTTGTCATGGAAAGATGTGTTAGTACAGTATCACCCATACTATTTTGATCGTCCTTTTGTTGTAGCTATTCTCTGTTGGATAATGTCTACTGTTGCCGTGTCAGATGTCTTTTTTTCTTTTTTATGTAGGGGTTTTTCATTTTCTTGGCTTGTATGTGAATGACCGAATATATATCAAGTGTTTTTATAATGCTGGATACTTTCTAGGCCTCAGAATTCACATGAAATAGAACCATTTGAAAATGACCATGGAGACAGTAGTTCATTAAGGTCAAATGAGTCTCATCGGGAATTTGTGCTATTTGACTAAAATAAAACTGTTAAGAGTTTGTTTTGTAAATAAAATTGAACTAAAGTATGACTTTTTGACTTTAAAAAACATGTTTTAAAATAAGCTTTTTTGTTAATAAGAATTTAAATTATTAAATTTTTTATAAAGTAATTTAACTTTTGCTCATGAAACAATAGCAAGGTCGTGGATAATTTCACTAGTTAGTCTCTTTAGACATTTTTCTCATTAATCTAAACATACCTTAATTTTAATGGTTAATATGATTAAAAAGTAAATTTTAAATTTGATTTTACGTTGAGATTTGTATTATTTATATATTTTTAATTTGGTTTATTGTTAGCCTACATAAAATTTTCAATAAATACTTATCCTAATTAGTAAAGTAAGTATATGAGTATTATTCAAACTTTTAAACTGAGAAATAATGGGATGGATATATAATTATCCAGCTAAAATCCATATTAAAATTCGTTTTCATACTTTATTTATATATTTTAAAATTTTCACAAATATATTTTCATTTTTAGAAATATGAGTTACTTATTTAATTGTAAAATCTTTTAAATTATACAATAATTAAATACTATACTTAAAAGTATAAATTTGACTAAAAATAATTTTTTATTTTTTATATTTTAAAATATTTTTCATATTTAAATTTGTTCCAGCCAAGAACTACGGAAACATCTAAATTGAAGTGTTTATAATATACTTTTTGTCTTTTACTTATTTTGTCTATATATATATATATATATATATATATTATTTTGACAGAAAATTATTTTGACAGAAAAAATCAACCTATGTTTGGAATATAATAGAGTAGTCTGGATTGAAATCGATATTTTTTTGGCTTTTACATGCAAGATACGTTGGATTAGTTGGTGCTCAATTTACTTTTGTATTCTGTTCACTGGTAGCTACTTAGAATTGTGTTTTTCACAGTTGAAACCTTCACTCCTGCTCCACATAGATGGAACAAGTCCAGTAGCTAAAGATATTGGGCGTCAGGTACAATAAATCTTAACAACTTTCATGACAAAAAAAAGTAAGAGGTTATGATAAGAATAGCGTAGTTTACCCTGTTCACAAATTTATTTTAAGAAAAAAAATACTTATGATTTGGAGATATATGGGTGCATGAGTTATGAGTTGTGAAAAAAAAGATTCCCATTTTCGATTAGGAATTTGATGATTAAATAAAAGGTAATAATTGTACAACCAGCATGCTAACACTTTTTTGTGCTTACATAATATTTAACATTTTTGGTAAGAGGTTGTATAAAACCTTCTTTTATCTTGGCTCGTTACTTTTCTTTAAAAGTCATTTCAATGGCCAATATCATGCTCAAATTTTCTTGTTGTTTATATGTTTATATGATTGTCGTGCTTTTGTTGCAAAATCATCATGTCCATTGTTTGATATGTTTCATTCATAACGGGTAATAATTGTTAAATTCATTTGTATAATTTTTTTTATTAACTATTAAATTATATTGTAGATATTTGATCAAGTCAAATAATGAAAGTAACGAAAAATAAAATTAGACAGTTTTTCTTTTTTAGTAATGTAATGAACATCTCAATCATATTTTCAGTATTTTAATTTAGTATTGAAGATTTTTCTTTCTAATATATGAATAATTAGTTGTATAAACATATTAATATGTTCAAGAATGTAGTTTAATTTATATATAATATTCAGTTTTAATTTATATTATTTCATTGTTTGTTTGGTTAATAAAACTAATTTTATCATAATCTCATTTTATTACAATAAAAAACTAAAAAAAATCTATATACATTTTGGGCGGTTTTAGCAAACCCCGGTTAGTTCCGGCGGTATTAACAAAATCCCTACTAATACCAGCGGTTTGCACAAAACCTCCGCCAGTACCGGCGATTTTCGCAAAACCCCTGTTAGTACCAGCGGTTTTGACAAAACCCCCACTAGTATCGACGGTTTTCACAAAACCCCCGCTAATACCGACGATTTTCAAAAAATCTCCGCTAATACCGACGATTTTCTCAAAACCTCTGGTATTTACTTAGCGATACATCCTAACGGTTTTTCTAAATGTGGGTATCCTACTTTCCGAGGGTTAAAACCGCCAAAAACAGAAAAAATAACCTCCGATAAAAATGTAGATTTTTGTAGTGATTTATTAACCTAGTTATTGAATAAATTAAACATCACATGTTCCATTAAAAATTATAAAATTTTTGAGTATTCATAAAAATATTAATAAAAACTTAATTAAAAATATTCAAAATTACGATAGATTTAAAACTTAACAAAGCCATGTTTAAATTAGTGTGACTGACAAATACTGATTCTTTATTCAAAAGAAATATGCATTTTATCATATTCAATATCTAAGGCAAACATTTTGAGCAATTTAACTATAATTTAATAGACAATCATCCTAGTTCGAGCGAAAAACTTCTTAACACATAGCTTGAATGTATTGTTGACAATTGTATGTTCCATTTTCCAAGGAGCCAAAAACCATATATAGAGTTTGTCATCCAAGGATTAGGATTTTGCATCTTGCCTTACAACTGTTAGAGCTCTCTTGTCTCTGTATATATGATTTCATTGACACTCAGTAGGTCACTTGTATAGTTTGTCTATTTGATCTTTGTATTGAGTCACAACTCTATCTCTTCTAATTTTCATGGTGGGTGTCATTAAACCATTCTCAATCTGCCATTGTAGAAAAGGATTTACCAAATGTATCAGTTTTCTTATATGAATAACAAAAAACATACAAGATACTATAACTTTGAATTCGATTCAAAATCTAACCGTGAAGGGTTCATTTACAAGAAGGATTGGTCCAATTTGAAATGGAGATTGAGACATCCTGCATGATGAATAGGAAACAACGAATGGGAAAAATGCAAATTATCAAGATTAGAGTATAGAAAATAAAATGAAATCAATGAACACCAATTCGGGAACACATTTGAACTCTTTCTTTTATTTCTATTCTATTTCGGTATCAAGAAAGATAGCATGTGATATCCCACTTAATGAACTAGCTATAGGAATGAACTCAATTTTCTCTTTCTGTGTGCATCAAGGATATCACCAGTAGTGTGAAACCAATTTATTTCAAAGCAACTCTCCTTAAATATTCTCAAAACTATTTTTAAAGATATAGTTAACACCGTCTTTCCATAACATAATAATTAGAAACTTTATCACACATTCAAAAGAAGGAGAAGTGAAACCAAGTCTTACCAGGTTTGTAATTCTTTATAAATTAGGCTCCTCACTTTTTCCTCACTGACATATGAATTCTCGGAATTTACAATTGACAACTTCCTTGCTACCTTCAAGACTTCTTCTTTGTTAGGAACTATTACAGCTCCTAGACGTCGCTTATCCTTACAGTCATTAACAAGAAGTTAAATCACTACATTTTACACTGTCTGAAATACATTCTATACGTAGTGCTTGATCCATAAGAAATTGAAAGAAACTAAGAGTTTACCTGGCCAACAACAACAATTTGTTGAATTAAGCTACTCCTCATTGCAGCTTCTTCAAGTTCCCCCGGTTCAACATTTTCACCTTCTCTTATCAGAACAAGTGGTTAATACTTGAAAAGGAAAAAAAATAAAAGTCTGGTAATCATAAGGGATTTGTGCATAGGAAGAAGTTGAAATTGAGGCTTAAAAGATATATTTTAAGATTCCATGATTTTGTTAACAAATTAAAGAACTTCTTGTCTTCTAGCCTAAAAACATTATTTGATAGTGAATTTTACATGTATAAAACAAAATTCAACTTGTTTTTATATGGGTGCGTGTGCCCTTGTACGTGCATACATGTGTGTGGTGTGCATGTGTGTATGCACGCGTGTGTGTGACTGCATATGCAAAGATAATTAATTCACACCATTTATTCACCTTTCTCATGTAAACTAATGGGTTCTCGGGTCGGGTAAATGGATAATTTCGCAAGAGTGTTTCATCTGTACCTCCAAGTATTTTCAAAATCTCTGTTACATCCCTAATTAAAATGTTATTAATTTTCAAATAATTGAAAAGAATCTTTGACCATTTGTGCAAATCCTTAACAGCTTTCTCTTTCTTCGACCCTCATTTCTCATTCCTCTCATTTCTCTTACTCCTTCATATCCCACTTTCTCATTTAAATTTTAGGTATACTATTAATAAAATTTTAGTATTTCATACATTAATATTTATTTTAATTAATTAATTATATTTTAATTAAATTTTTTATTTTAAATTATTTAATGTTTTATTTGTTTTATAGTTTTTTAATCTTTTACAATTTTAAGATATTTAGTTATTTTTCTAATAAAATATTAAGATTTTATAATTACATAAACATTTGAATTAATTAATTTTTTTAATTAAATATTTTTTCGTAATTATTTAATATTTATGTACTAATGAATTAATTAATTTTATTAAATTTTTTGTTTTGAATTATTTAATGCTTTATTTGTTTTATAGTTTTTAAATTTTTATAATTTTAAGATATTTTATTATTATTTTAATAAAAATAGGATTTTATAATTATATAAATATTTTAATTAATTAAATTTATTTTAAATTAAAATTATTTAATATTTATTTTAATGATATTTATAAATACTATAATAATACTTTGCAAAAAAAGATAAGACTAAAATAATAAATTAAAAGTAAAGTCGAGGAAACATAACATGGAGGGATCTCAAGCCAAGAAATGTATAGAATATCAAGCTACATACATATCGGAGATGGAAATCCGATATGCGGTTTTTGACTTCAATTTCTTATTAATCGAAGGTTAAAATTTGATTTCTGTTTCATCTAATATCGAAATTTGATGAAGTTTAAATCAGATTTTGATATCCGATAAAGGATAAATTGGATTTTGATATCCG